TGTGTCGATGCAGGAGTACACGCAGGCGTAGCTGTCGTAGTCAGTCTCGATCACTTCATAGGGAGCGGCGAAAACTGTAAAAGAAAGAACAACACAGTTACAAAAAGTTATCGGTCAATATCCTTTCTTCGGATTCTATTATATAGAATAATGCAGTTTAAATATACATAGAAGAGAATTTTATATACAAACCGGTAGGGAAATCAATGAGCATGTGGGCAGGTGGGAAGTCCTTTGTGGGGTAGATCTTGCCCTGCAGTCTGAGGTACTCGTTGTTGGGGCTGAATCCAGCTGTGGTTACCCTAAAGCCGTTGAAAGAGTCAGAGTAGTCGTAGTTGGAGTGGATGCAGCGAGTGTATGGCTGGTAGGCGTTGTCAATGATCTGGACCTGATACCAGCGACCTGCATACTGTTGGGGAATAGATATTACTTAGGTAATAGGACGAGAATGCCTGTAAACCAGTTTACAAATGAAGATGGAGTAAAAAAGTAATAAAATATAAAGAACTTACTCTGCGAAGGTCGAAGTTGTCTTGATTTGCCCACTTTGGCACAATTTCCAGGAGCTACAAAGTCTGGAATGCCGTCGGCTGCGACAAGAGCCACGAGGGCAGCAGCTACGAGTGCCTTCAACATGGTGGCTTGTGAAGTGTGATTCCGACCAAGTTCATGCCTTTTATATGTCACGAAGCTTATGCAAATCACAGTTGAAGGAGGAGCTCCGAAGATCACGAATGTCGCTGGATTTTATTGGGAGTGATTTCCTCTTTTTTCCTATGGATTGTGATCAATATTCTTAATATCTCTAGATTAATTTTAAACTGAATAATATAACTGAAAAGAATGGACGTTTATTCCTTCTAAGCTGGGGTTATAATTAAGATTTCTTTATCAGACTTGCGCACCGTTCCTGACCTACATTTTGTATATAAAGAAGTACCAGACTTCACGTTGGCACTGACACTGCAGGAGCACCATGAAGACCTCGCTGCTGTTCCTTGCTCTCACAGCCTTCGCTGCTGCCGACAAAATCCCCGACTTCGTCGTACGGGAAAGTGTCCCCTTGTTGACGAGAGAAGCCTCTATGAGCAGCAAAGGCCTAATCATCCAAAGGTAAGTTTATCTTAGTCTCCAAAGTAACAGTGATAAAGTGTCCATAAATTACAGATAGAACTTTTACTATACAGCAGCCATAGGCCAAATCATTCAAAGCTGAGACCATTTTTATCTTAAAAGTGACATAGTGATATACAATATTCATATATTACATATACAACATTTGCTAGTGCATATGTTACATTATTTACAGTATGCTGGTGTGTGGTATGAAATAGCCATCACAAACAACCCTTACCAACTTATCCGCCAGTGTGTCCGCAACGAATATACCTTTGGTGAGTGTCCTACAGCTGTAGAACTAGTTTTTTTTTTTTTTTTCGTAATGTTGTATTTGGACATGCACACTTAACCTACTCTTAGTTTACTCTTCTAAAAAGGAATCACGAAGCTAAACTTCTTTCCTCAGATGGAACCAAGTTCAACGTCAGATCCACTGGTATTGACGCCAGAGGAAGCCCAATGACACGAATGGCCAGGTTCTGCGAATCCTTTCGGAGAAGCTCAT